CGGGGCGCACCAGGGGGGTCTCGGGGTCCCTGCATGTTTGGAGGAAGCGGAGTTGGGCAGCTTATCTCCCTAAAGAAAGGTTCAGCGCCCCGGCGACAGGGGGGCGTGGGAGAGGCCAGTCTGGCTTTGCGGCTGCCGGGTAAGCTGTACAGAGAGTTCCTAGAGCAGTGCGCTGCGGGCTGGAGCCAGCAGTGCCCGGGGCAGCGGGCGCGCGGAGCTGGCAGCTGGTGTGTGCCAGCAGGGCCGAGCTGGCTGCCGCAGCCCTGCTTGGGACAGCAGCCACGGGTACCACGCGCTCAGAACCGTGGCAGGATGGGGCGCTGCGGCTGACGGTGCCGCCGTTCATGCAGTGACGGGTGAGCACCCGCACGCTCGGGGCGTTAGAAACCGTCCCCACAGCAGGGCCCGGGCCACGCAGGGTGCCCAGGCACGGCGCAGCTCGGCTGCAGCACACCTGGGAGTGCCGTGCAGCGCGCCTGCCCGGCGAGCATCCTGACAGTCCCGCCAGCGCTGTGTGTGAGCCGGTGACAGGCTGTTTGCGAACACCCATGTGTGCCGGGCGGCCGCTCGGGGGGTGAGGAGCCCTTCCAGGGCTGAATAACAGCCATGACTGGCGCGGCATTCAGCACTTTGCATGCCACTGCCCCGTGGTTTTAATGCTCCGCGACAGTTTAGCTCGGAGGGCCTGAAAGGGGTGAACCCTGGCCCGTGCATCAGCGGGGCGAGCTAAGCTGCAGTGCATTAAAAATGGGAATATAATAGAGTTATCCATCATAATTAGCCTAGCCCAATTACACGCTCGCTCAGCCGCTCCTGGTGCGCGGTGCGGCTCTGTGGCAGCTGACGCAGCTCACGGCCGAGCTGCTGCTCCCCCTGGCCCAGCTGCCGGCCCCATCGCTCCCTCGCGCGGCGCTCAGGCTCAGCCAGCTGTGCCAAGGCTGGCAGGGTGGCAGACACTGGCCCTCTCCACCGCATCGACCAGGAAGGAGCGACAGGCCTGGCCCTCCCGCATCGACCAAGAAGGAGGGAGCGGGGCCAGCCCTGCAAGCCCCTGCCGCGGCTCTGTCCCAGGTCCCAGTGCCAGCTCGGGGGGCTCGGCCAAATCCTGCCCCACAGACCCCAGCTCCCCTTGCGACTGGCCCTCCAGCACCCAGGGGTACGGCAGCACGGGGAGGGGGGGCTGTTTTCCCTACACGGCGCATTTCTCCTCCCTGAGCCCTCGGTAGCGCCGTGCTGCGTGATTCGGCTGTGACTGCTTTGGGGACCAGCTAGAGGCTGAGCCACTGCCAGACCCAGGGCAGGTCCCCAGCTCCCCGCTGTCCCAGCGGTGCCGCTTGCCATCGCATTGCCTGTGCCGAGCCCGGCTGACGCCCAGCCCTGCCACGTGCCGCCTGTCGGCTCCCCACCCCGACCCCCCCCACGGGAGGCCGGCGGCTCTGGGGCGAGCGCGTGGGAGGCAGACGCTGCCCAGAGGAAGGGGCTTTGGGAGGGACGGGGAGTCCCGGGGGAGCAGAAGGGTGATGTGGAGTGGCACGAGACGGCAGGAATGGCTCCGCAGATGAGGGACGCCACGCCAGGCGGGGGGACAGGCCTTCCCCACACGCTGCACAGCTCGCCCCACAGCTGGCCCCACGGCACCGGGCTGCAGGCAGCCCTGTGTGCCCGGCTGGGGCCCAGGAGCAGACAGCCGGGATGCACGGGGTGCCCCTCCCCACCTCGCCCCTTGCCTCGACTCTAAGCTCAGTGCGCTCGCACCTCGAGGGCCACAGCGGGAACTGGGCTGAGGGGCGAGGGGGGTCCCCTCCAGCATCCAGCA